CTTTTTCAATTCTTAGATACGCCCCTGAATACATGTACATTACATTGATTGTTCTATACTGTACATAGCTATGTACATGTACATGTACTGTATAGATGTACATTAGTGAGGATTTTTTTATTTCTAAAGTGACATTATTATTGATTTTAATGCTAAACATCCCTTGCTAAATTCACTAATATTGCTTATAATGTACATGTACATGTAAGTATGATAGTAATAATAGTACGTTGTAAATGTACATGTACATGTACTGTTATACCTATATCTACATGTACATGGTAAATGGTACATAAAATTACACTTAACTTGTACATGTACATGTACATGTGTATGTACATGTACATGTATGGTTCTATTATTTTCTTTACTTGATTCCTCAGTCTTTGTCTCAGTTCTTCTGCCTCTCCTTCAACTACTCTTCCTCCTCCTTTCCCAGACTGCTGGAGCAGTTTCTCTTCCTCAAATGCTATCCTCCGGCTGGCTAACTCATTAGTCTTGAGATCAAGCTCTGCCTGAAATAATTATTGATGAAATACGTGTCATTTTTAACAAAATTTAGGTAGCTGTAAAAAAATTTTATATGATGAAAATATTTTGCTTTACTATTATTAAAGGTGGATTGTCAAACCACCCACACTTTTAATTAAAAATTGATAACTGTAATATCATGTATTTTGGAGGGAGTAGAATTTGGCGAATTGCTGAATTTTGGTTGACTGGCAAATTTTAATTTCACACATTTTTGGCCATGTGCCATTGAGGATGCGTATAATGGCTCAAAATGGCGGATTTTTATTTTGACGAATGACTATCAAAACGCCAATTTGCCAAATTTGATTCCCTCCAAAATTTCCCGCTATACAGTATCGTAAATCTATCTACCTTTGTTCCTGTCAGTTGCTGAGATAAAAATGTCAATCTGTCATTTTGTTCCGATATATCATTCCTGGCCTGCTCAATGTGTCTCTGCCATTTCTCCCTCTCTTCATTAAAGATTTCCCTCTCCTTGTTCAGCTTGTCTTGCTGCTCCTTCATATCTTTGTCATCTTGCTGTAGCTTAATGGTAAGTTCTTTATATTGCTTTAATGTTAGGTCAAGACTTTGGAATTTCTCCTTAAAAGATTCTGGAGAGAGAGAAAGAGAGGAGGAAAAGAAGGAGAGGAAAGTACATGTATAAAGATAGTTTTATTTCATAAGCAGCATTGGCAATTCTCATTTAGCTCGTAATTTTGAGAGAATGAAAATTTTGGCAAATTTGATGTGTTGATAGCCATTTGCCAAAATAAAATCAATCATTTTAAACCATTATGCACATTCTCAATGACACATGGACACAAATTAAAACCCGCTGTTTATTATTTTTTAGCAATGCACCAAAATTTTCCTGCAAATTACCAGCTAAACATCATTAATATTTATCCTAACAAATCTGCAAATCTTAACTCACTGATCAGTATTGGTAGGTCATTCTTCAGCTCAGCATTAGGTGCATGACTGGCTGCTAGTCTTGCCCGTAAGTTCCTCAATAGGCTCAGCTCTGAGGCTGAGGCAGACATATCTAATGCTCTAGTCTCTGCAGTTTCTATTGCTTCAAGCAAAGCGTCATTCTTATCCTGAGATTTGGTTAGATTCTTTTCCAACCTATCGAATATATAAAGTACTTTCACTCTGTCTCCTATTTACCTGGTAAGGAGAGCTGAGAGTTCGCGGGATTTGTCCAAAACTGATTCTGGGTTGGAAGCCATTTTACTGTTTATTGTTGGGATGGAGTGACTGGAGTCGCTATAGCAACAACCGTAAACTTAATTAAAGGGATCTAGACAATGGGCGTGGTTACAATTGAGTAATGTTTAAAAATAAAAATGGCGGAATCTGATGGTAAGTTTTGGTAAATTTTCAAAACTTTATATTATTGCAGAAAGGGAACAAAACAATCTATCAAGAGTGGATCACGTGATATTAGTCCTCTCTGGTAAAGGAGGGGTTGGTAAGAGTACAGTAACACGTCAAATAGCACTGGGACTAGTTGAAGAAGGAAAGAAAGTGAGAGACTGTTTTTATATTATATATTTACTTGTTTGTGTGTTGCTAGGTTGGTATATTGGATATTGATTTATGTGGTCCTAGTATACCTCACATGTTTTCATTAACTGGTAGAGATGTACATCAAGGGACTGATGGGTAAGCCCCTATCATTAATTATTAATTATTAGTACTATCAGTCTATGGTCTGTGGCCATAAATCAAAAAATTGAAGTCGGAATCAGCTCAAACTTGCTACACAGCATAAGGACATCAATATGTATCAGAAAATGTAATAAAAATTTGGGATGATTTTGGAGTCATTTTTTGGAAAAAACCATGGGCTATAGCCTTGGGTACTTTCTAGAAATTTGGCGCTTTTTAAAAATGGCCATAACTCTAAAAATTGAAGTCGGAATCAGCTCAAACTTTCTACACAGCATAAGGACATCAATATGTATCAGAAAATGTAATAAAAATTTGGGGTGATTTTAGAGCCATTTTTGGAAAAAACCATGGGCCATATATAGCCTTGGGTATTTTTCAGAATTTTGGCATTTTCTTAAAATGGCCGTAACTTGAAAAATTGAAGTCGGAATCAGCTCAAACGTTTTACACAGCTTAAGGACATCAATATGTATCAGAAAATGTAATAAAAATTTGAGGTGATTTTGGAGCCATTTTTTGGAAAGAACCATGGGCTATAGCCTTGGGTACTTTCCAGAAATTTGGCGCTTTTTAAAAATGCGCCATAACTCTAAAAATGGAAGTCGGAATCAGCTCAAACTTTCTACACAGCATAAGGACATCAATATGTATCAGAAAATGTAATAAAAATTTGGGGTGATTTTAGAGCCATTTTTGGAAAAAACCATGGGCCATATATAGCCTTGAGTATTTTTCAGATTTTTGGAGTTTTCTTAAAATGGCCGTAACTCTAAAAATTGAAGTCGGAATCAGCTCAAACTTTTTACACAGCTTAAGGACATCAATATGTATCAGAAAATGTAATAAAAATTTGGGGTGATTTCGGAGCCATTTTTTGGAAAAAAACATGGGCCTTGGGTATTTTTCAGAATTTGGCATTACTTAGTTGAAAATTTTTCTTATACATGTAGCATAAGGACATCAACAATTATTTTATTTATTACATTATTTATTTATTTATTTATTTAGTTATTTATTATTATTAGTTGGATTCCAGTATATGTTGATGATACTCAAAGTCTTTGTGTGATGTCAATTGGTTTTTTATTAAATAATAAAGATGAAGCTGTTGTATGGAGAGGACCCAAGAAGAATGGTACTTGAACATATTCTCTCATTTTACAAAACTTTATCCTCAATTGTTATCTCTCTCCCTCTCCCCCTCTCTTTCTCTCTCCCTCTCCCTCTCTCTCTCTCTCTCTCTCTCTCTCTCTCTCCCTCTCTCTCTCTCTCTCTCCCTCCCTCTCTCTCTCTCTCTCTCTCCCTCTCTCTCTCTCTCTCTCCTAGCTATGATTAAGCAGTTCTTGTCTGATGTAGTTTGGGGTCAGTTGGATTATCTTATTATTGATACTCCACCAGGTCAGTGTATCATACATTACCTCCAATATCTCATTCATTATATTATACATGTACATGTACATATACTGTATAACCTCTCTCCATACTCCTATCCCTCCTGATTCACATAAATGTCTTTACTTTTATCTCTCTCCCTCTACCCTCTCTTTCCTCCCTCCCTCTCTCTCTCTCTCTTTCTCCAGGTACAAGTGATGAACATATTTC